CCGGCGGGGAGGGAGGCTTGCTCTTGGCGGACGACCCCGACGTCGGGGATCCGGCGGATGCCCGGACGGTGAGCATCTCTCCAATGCGGGAAAGCAGCGCTTTGAGGGAGACGCCCATGTGGGGTAAACGCCCTCGAGAGCCATCCCCGTTCCCTTCTTCCCAGGAGGGCACTGCGGAGAACCCTATTGAGCTTTAACTGTGATGATTTTTTTTTTTTCACGCCTGTCGATTTCCTCGAGACGACTCACCTGAAATTTGAGAAATAAAATGCGGACTCATGAGCTGGGAATTGACTGAAATAGTGCACACACGTTTCCTAACCGCTTTTGTTTATTCCTTTGCTTGACATACGAAAAGAATATTTATTTATTTATTCTTCTTCTGGAAAGTACTCTAACTTGATAATAGAAAGATGGGTGCATTTCATAAGATAGTGTGTATATAAATCCAGGACATCAATATTTAGAATGACTTCCTGATGCAAAAGCACTAGACATACATGTACGGGTGGAGTGTGAAACAGTGAAAAAAAATAAAAATCTTGCACATTTAAAGATTATCTGATGGCACCAATGTCATATACTTCCATGGAAAAATAATAATGACCATCTTCCTGTTTCCTGTTTTTTTGCTATTCCCATATGGCTGATATTATTTTTATAGAAAGCATTTCATATATTGAACTAGATTTTTCATTTCTCCTCCCTCAAATACAACATCTTTTTTTATTATCTGATTTGCTTTCTTTTTTTTTAATCTTCTCCGTGTCTATTACGATATTTTTTTTCTCACTAACCTATATAGATACAACCAGATATCTATACTTATATCTACATATATACTTATTTATTTACAAGATTTATTGAATTTTCTCGTTTCTTTTTTTTTCTCTCTATCTCTTTCTCTTTATATCTATATTTGTGTGCATTAGTTGCGGTTTTACCCTTATTTCTATACTATCTTTCGGTTTCTCTTTGATCTCGAACACCTGCAAAACAAACGCATTACATTGACGCATCATCAAACAGTTGGAGCAACCTAACCTCCCAGAAGAAAAAAATTAGTGTTTAAAAGCTTATTATTATTATTATTATTATTATTATTATCGCCTATACACGGCTTTTTTTTTACTAACTGTATTAATTGAAACGAGTGCACCACGCGCAAACACGAGATGCCCTCGTCTCGACGGGTGTACACGAAAAGTGACTTTCTGGGGTTTGCTCCGCTCGTGCGCGATCTGACGCTCCCCCCGGAGGCGATTAAGAAGTTTGAGGTGATTGAGGTGGTGGAGCCCCCCGCGGCCGCTGGCTGTAGTGGTGGGGGCAATTCCAAAGGCCGCGTGGTGGAGGCCGCCGCCGTTGCGCCCGACCGCCGGGTCACTCGTGAGGAGAGCAGCCGGCCCACGCACGATCGATTCGCGCCGCCGCGGGGGTGGCGTGGGAACCGGGATCAAGAAACCTTCGAGGAAGGGATTCGCTACGAGCTCGAGCGAAACGCGGCGCATACCAAGCAGCTTAAAGAGACCATCGCCAAAGAGAACGGCAAGGACGAGGAGCTGCGCGCGAGCAAAGTCGAGCCCCCCACCCCTCCCGAGGATGAAAAAGCTAGTGATGAGATCGAGCGCCTGCTGGCGGGGATCGCCATGCGGGAGGAGCCGAAGGGGGCTAGCACGCGCCGGTCGCGCTTCTTCGGCAGCTCCACGCCGTCCAACGCGGGGCCCATGAAGGAGTGGGAGAACACGACGGACGCGAACATCTGGAGCCAGCCCCCGCCCGCCTCCGCGGCGAAGGACTTCGGGCACGGGAACGGGCCCTCGCTGAACGGCCCCCTGGGGACCCGCGGGGGGATGGC